TGTCTCCTCCCAGACTTCTGAGATCCTATCCTGTCTACTGGATCCTCTGGTTATATCTACATGGTATGAGAGCTAGAGTGGATTATAGGATCCGTCAAGTCTTCGTTCTTCTCAGAACAACCCCTTTATAAAGTTATTCATTACACCTCGAAGTCTGCAATACTATGGCTCCTGAAGGAAAAGCTACTACAGACTCACCGGGCCCACCACCAGCAACGACTAACACGCCATCAGCAATGACCTTCGTCAGCGCCGCTGTCGTCGAGGAGCTAGTCGCACGCATCAACGCCCTTGAAAGCCATCAAGCAATGAGCGTTGACGGCTCAAGCTATGCACATGGCGTTGCTGGACTTCCCCTTCCTGGAGAAGACCGCCGCGTCAACTCCGAGAGATCCTTCACCTTTGACAATCGTTAAGGGTCAGCTCCTGCACAAGACAACCAACAACGCTCACAGCCAGACATCGCTTCAATGCAAACCAAATTTGTACTGACTTCAAAATTGAAGACCTCAATTCCTTTCGACAGAAAGGATTTCTACACGTGGAGTTTTGAATTCGAGCTTCTAGCGACAACCGCCCAGATATGGATGTACTATGACGGAAGTCTACCTTTTCCTTCGGAAGGCACCATCCAGGAGAAGCATCAATACTACCACGAATCCCTCCTCGCATACACCGCACTCCTTCGCAACCTCTCACCTGCAGAGCAGCTTGGCATTCGTCCTTATAAGACGGAGTGGGCTCCCGCGCAGGCGTCCTGGGAACACCTGCGCAGCTCATACATGGCAACAGATCCTATTACGATGAGTCGCCTGCTTAGCCAGCTAACTTAAGTTAAAATGAAGCAAGGGGAGAAAGCGGGACCGTATGTCAACCGGTGCCGCAATCTGCGCGACCAAGTCAAGAAATGCGGTGGGATTGTCCCCGACGACATGTTCATCTCAATGGTCATCTTTGGCCTCGGCGACAGTGCTAGTCACTCCTTCGCGCCTGAGCAACCATATCGAAGTCGGCTCTGTGCGCCACGCTCCTTTCGGAGCAAAAGGAGATCGACCTGTACAACGAGAAGAACGTCAAACGGGAGAAATTAGTCTTCTACACAGGAGCATCACAAGGGGAGCAACGCGGAAAAAAGGGAGCCTTCTGCAAATACTGCAAGAAGTCTGGCCATGCTATCGGCCAGTGCTACAAGCGTTAGGCCGCTGACGAGCGGCGCAACGCCTCCAACCAACAACCATCAGCACAAACAAAGCCTTCCGCCACTGTGTCGCCTCCTTCCGTCGCTAGCACTTCTCAATCTCCTGCACTCATCACGGCAAAGGACAAAGAAAAAGGGACAACTATAAGCTACATGGCTCGCCGCAACAGAGGGTTCCGTTACTGGGATCGAGTAACATTCGCTCGCGACAATCCCATCAACCCCGTTGCATCCAGTCCAAACAATGATCCAACAGTCTTTACCTGGTCCTCTCGCCCCTCAGACATACCTCCTGACTCCGAGCTCCCACCTCCTACTCCGGAATCGCCGCCAAGCATTTCCGCAAACAGGTATTTCGCCCTCTCACCGTACACCGGCGGCTTTGATCAAATCGTCACACCCAAGATCGCCAACCTCGCCCGCCAGCGCTACGAAGATCTGAACACGTGGTACCTCGACAGCTGCTGCGGCCAACACATGGTGGGATCGCCAAAGTTCATCAGCAACTAACGGCGTATGCGACGACTCTGCAAAATCACCGTCGCCAACAACGGAAAAATGAAGGCATATGAGATTGGCGAAATATACCTCGAGGCCAATGACACGAAGTGTGAAGAAATGAGGAATGAATGAACTAGCAAAGAGGTGGGTACAAGTAGGAAAACCTAGAAATGTTGTACCCCATATTGTCTACCCCACTACAGCCTACACAGGCTATAGCATATAAGTTTGACACACCCCCATAGGCAAAGTGGGGGAGAACAAGAGGTCACAAGACCAGTCAAGCAAAGAAAAGCAAGCTCAGGGTGGATCATAACGTCACCACACATTCCGAGCACAAGAGCAAGGCCACAAGGCCAGTTCACATGCAAGATCATATATAAAGGTAAACAAGCAAGTGCAGGTATAGAAAGATCACAGTACAAGCAAGGTCAAGAAGTGAGCAAGTGAGGCCAAGTAGGCACAAGACCTAGCGTTGTACAGAAGCGCTGATGATCACAAGGTGGAAGTGCCTTGGTAAAGATATCAGCAGTGTTGGCCTTAGAGGCCACGTAAGCAAGGCGCAGCTGAACACGCTGCTGCAGCTCACGAGCAAGGAAGTAGCGAAGAGCAATGTGCTTCGTTCTGCGCTCCAGTCTGTGCTCCCGACACAAGGCCAGCATGGCCTTGTTGTCTACGTACAGAACTGGAGGAGAACGAGGCGGCTCTCCTAGGTCAGTCAGCAGGTAGGTGAGCCAGCGTAGCTCCTGTGCAGCCATGGCCCCCGCGTAGATCTCAGCCTCACCGCTGGAGCCGAGAACAGAAGACGAACGGGTAGACGGCCACGAAACAGAGCCGGAGCAAAGGCTGAAGGTGTAACCCTGTGACGACCACTGCGTAGCCTGGTCATTAGCCCAAGAAGCGTCTGCGTGACCTGTGAGGACCACTCAACGTCGCCCTCCAAGCACTAGCCCCATGCCCGACGTACTGCACAAGTAGCGAGCCAGAAGGCCAAGAGTGTACGTAAGGTCAGGTCGTGTGCTGGTCATCAGGTACATGAGGCAGCCAACAAGCTCTGGGTACGGGCCACTCGTCTCTACGGACTCATCCGAAGGCAGAGTTGAGAGCGAGTGGCGAGTAGACAGAGGAGTGGCCTGAGGCGAGGAGTACGTGAAGTCGAAGCGCTGAAGGACCTGCTGCACCATGTGTGACTGAGTCAGGGTAATGGTGCGCTGTGCTCTGTCCCGGGTGATCTGCAAGCCAAGGTAGCTGCGCAGTTCACCCAGGTCCGTGCACGTGTGTCTCTTCTACAGCTCGAACTTCACATGGGCGAGTCTAGCAGTGTCAGCAGTGGCAAAGACCAAGTCGTCGACGTACACGAGGATGTAGAATGGCGGCAAAGAGGTGTCGGTGCGTAGAAACAGCGACGGGTCGGCAGTAGAAGGAGCAAACCCAAGAGCCGCAAGTGTAGTCCTCAGTGTGTCGTGCCACTCACGGGGCGCCTCGCAGAGACCGTAGACTGGCCGCCGGAGGTTCCACTGGGTACCAGGGGGAAACGACCCAGTGAAGCCAGGTGGGCGGCGCAGCCAAATCTCCTCGTGCAGGCTGCCCTGCAGGAAAGCTGTGCTGAAGTCAGGAGAGTGAAGCTCGTAGTCGCGCTGAGCGGCTATGTGCAGCAGCACCTGAAGAGTGGTCATCTTCGGGGTGGGAGAGAATGTCTAAAAGTAGTCAACTCCTTGCTGCTGACTGAAGCCTCGAGCCACGTAACGCGCCTAGAAGACAGGCGGAGAACCCGGCGGCCGCTTCACCCTGAAAATCCACATGCCATTGACGATGTTCGCCCCAGGTGGGGGAACCTCGTCGACGTAGGTGCCTGTGGACTTCCAAGAAGCCATCTCTGCATCCATGGCTGACTGCCACTGTGAGGAGTAGGGACCCTCGATCGCCTCAGCGTACGATCGAGGAGTCGGGATGTCTGGTGCATCCGGGTCTCCCTCAGGGGCAATCAGCGTGGACACGAGATGAGGCAAAGCAGCAGCAAAAAACTAGAGCTACTCCTGCCTGTCCTCAAGGACGTCCGTGCTAAGAGCACACTCACCCTCGACGGACGGAGGACAGACAGACTCAGACTCAGCAACAAGACTAGTGGCGTAGTTTAGACGACAACGATCAGCAAAGTCGACAAGCTCAGCAACCAAGGCAGACGCAGCAGTGGACTCAAAGGAAGGGTCAGTGACAACAGTAGCTAGGAGACGCATGACAGTAGGACTGGCAGCACGAAGAGAGTCAGACTCCGGGTCAGCAAGGACAGGAAGAGAGGACTCTGGAGGAGATGGCAACGGGACATGCTGAGGAGCAGTGGAAGGACGCAAGGCCATCTGGTGTGTGCCCGGGACCGCAGGAGGACGCGGACGCGGAGCACGACTACTAGTGCGAGCAGCACGAACAGGCGACGCAGGACGAGACGCAGGCTCACGACGCTCAGCAAGACCTCCAGTAGGACCAGTGTAGGGAGAAGGAGCAGGTAGGGGGGAGGCGGGCTGTAACTGTGACCGCGACTGGACAGCCTGTGGACACTCTAAGGGAGGAGCAGGACCAGTAGAGGGCGGGAGACCAAGGACCTGCTCAAGGAGCGGAACGAAGTACGGCCGCGGCCGCGCAGTGCCTCCAGAACCAGCAGGGACAGCACCAGTACCCCCAGCGGCAGCACCAGCGCTAGCAGCACCTCCAGCTCCAACAGCGCCAACTCCAGCACCCTCAGAAGCACGAGCGCCAGCAGCACCTCTAGCGCCAACACCCCCAGCAGCTCCAGTACCCCCAGCAGCACCAGCAGCTCCAGTACCTCCAGCAGCTCCAGCAGCACCAACTCCAGCAGCACCGCCATCTCCAATACCGCCAGCAGCTCCCGCAGTACCTCTAGTAGGACCAACTCTAGCAGCCCCAGCATCACCCCCAGTCCCAGCAGCTCCAGTACCGCCAGTACAAGCACCTCCAAGACCAGTGGCTCCAGTAACTCTAGCGCCGACTCGAGGGTCAGCAGCAACCGTAGCACCTCCAGCTCAAGCAGCACGGCTCCAGCGCCAGGCAAACCACTAGCGCAGCTCCGGCGGAGAGAGGGGCTCCCGCCTCGACGAAGCACCGCCAGAGGCCACACGAGGAGACCCAGCACCCCCAGGCTCCGGACTCCCAGGCTCCGCACCCCCAGGCTCAGCAACCCCAGACTCAGCACCCCCAGGCTCAGCACCCCTAGACTCAGCACCTGCAGGCTCAGTACCCCTAGCAGCACCAAAGTCAACAGCTTTCTCGACAGGCTCGACTGCGTCTACCTGGGACACACCTGACGGGGCAGGACCTTGAGGGGGGAGGGAGTCTACCGGGGGGGGACCTGGCGCAAGGAAGAGCGGCAGCGGGGGGAGGGGCGTAGTGCGGTAGGGGAAGAGACGGTAGTAACGCACCGATTCGTCAAACGTGACGTCCTGGGAGGACAGAAGATGGCGTGAGGTGGGGTGGTAAAACTGCCAACCAGGCGCGTTAGGGGGGAAGCTAAGGAAGACGCTGGTAACCGCACGGGGGGACAGCTTTTCCGTAGACAAGTCGCAGACAAACGCCCGAGATCCCCAGACACGGAACGCAGACGCATCGCCAACCTTCCCCGTCCACCTCAGGGTGGGGGAGGTCTCCGGCAAGGAGACTCGGGGCTGAAGGTTGATCTGATGCGCTGCGTACCGAACCGCAAACGGCCACTGAAAATGGGGAGCAGCCGCATGGATCATGGACGTATGAGCGACGTCCATGACCATGCCAATGCGGCGCTCAGCAATCCCATTTTGCTGTGGAGAGGCCGGAATCATGAAGGTCTGGCGGATGCCCTGTGCACGACAGAAGGCTCCCAGCAGGGCAGAGGAAAACTCCCCGCCTCTGCCAGAGTGCAGACGCAGAACAGGAAAGTCCGAGCCGAAACTCTCTCTGAGCTGGAGACAAGCTGCGCGGATCCAGTCGATCAACACCTCAGTGACGTCACCCTTGCTGCGCAAGGGGAACACCGTGGTGTAACGCGAGTAGTCGCCAACCACCAACAAGAAGTAACGCTCGTGACCCTGGCCGCGGACGCGGGCGGGGCCCCACACGTCCATGCGAAGAGTCTGCAGCGGAGCCTCTGTCGGAGGAAACTCGGAGGAGTGAGGGGCGGCGCGCTGCTGCCCGTCGACGTAGGGAACGCAGGTAGGGGCAGGCCCCGGAGGGAGGGGAGGGAGGGACCGGGGGAGACCAGAGACAAGGACACGGGAGGCCATGCCTCGGAGACGAGGCAGGGATGGGTGACCAAGGCGGTGGTGTCAAAGGAGAGTCTGGTGGGACAGGAGACGACATGAGCAGGGAGCAGACTCAGGACCAGACCTGGACGCTGCAGCAAACACCTGACTCGACGCAACTACCTGACTAGACTCAGCAATCGGAGGAGACTCAGTAGTCAGTGTGTACAAGCTCGACCCCGGCCGACGGGTAAACGTGGCCAAGTGTCGGCCTGTCCGAGCACACGTGCAGTGGGTCACCTGCTGACTCGCAGGAGTGAACTGGTCAACCCCCCCATCCTGTAGATCAGCACCACTCACCAAGTTCGTCACTAGTATACACATATATGCTATTCTTGCTGCCATATATGCTGTGTCTACTAGAGAACGAGGGGAGGTAGAGACCTGACAGGGTGCCAGAGGGGGCTGCCGGACACGGTAAGACAGTGGAGAAGCGAGCAAGGACAGGACCCCCAGAGGGGTCCGCCAGGGAGACCGCAACCGGCCGACTAAGCGGCGTAAGCGTGGTGCAGTCTCGAAAGAAGGAGCGGGAAGCACCCGAGTCGAGGGTGAAGGTGTGTAAGGCCTGAGCCAACGTGGTACCTGAGAGAGCAGACTCACCAGCACCTGGGGCAGCAGACGCACTAGCACCTAGAACAGCAGCCTCACCAGCACCTAGAGCAGCAGCCTCACCAGCACCTAGAGCAGCAGCCTCAATGCCCGGGTCAGGCGGAACACACAGGTAACAGTCACCCTCATCACTAGTAGACACAGCATATATGGCAGCAAGAATAGCATCATAATCAAGATCAAAGATAGCAACCCCCGCCCTAGACATCTCTCCCCAGCGAGGGATCTCAGTGGCGTCAGGGAACTGGTGATGCCAAGCGTCTGTCAGGCAGCCGAAGCAGCGCTGGGTGGAGTGCAAGCCCCCGCACTGCTCACCAGTGCGGTCGCCGGTACGGAGGACGTAGGTACAGGGACCAGTACCCCCACCTCGCTGACGCGCAGCGTACCACTCACGAAGCTGCTGGGGGGACGGGGTCTCACGAGTGTGCTGCTGCAGCTGGCGCGGACCACCACCGGAGCCACTCCTCTGCGCAGAGCCGCGACCAGCTCCACCGCTGCCGCCGCCGCCTCCGCCACCTCCGCCGCCGCCGCTCCCACCGCCACCGCCGCCGCCTCCTCCGCCTCCACTGCTCCCACCGACACCTCCACCCCGGCCACCACTCCCACCACCACCCCCACCCCCTCCACTGCCTCCACCGCCACCTCCACCGCCCCCGCCAGCCCCTCCAGCGCCCTTGCCCTCCTTGCCCTTGCCGGTGCGGCGTCTCCCGCTAGGGACAGACGCAGCTCCGACCGACTTGAAGCCAACGAGGTCGACGACAGCAGCAGAGGCAACAGAGGGCAACAGGGGGGAGGGGGAGCACCCTTCAAAGAAGGGGGCACGAGGGTCACCACGAGAGGCTCCTACAGCGACTATACTCTTCTCAGCTGCTAGGAGGCGCTCCTCGAGGAGGTCAACGGTGAGTGTGGTGGGGCAAACAGAGAGGAAGTGGTCCCTGACCGAGCGAAGGGAGTCAGGGAGCCGGGTGACTATGTAGTAGAGGGTGATGTACATAGGGGGGGGGTTTCTTGGCGTAGAACTCAGCGAGAAGCGCAGCTTGGTAGCGGGTGTCACTAATGCGAAGGTGCGTAATGAAGTCAGCGATAGTGGGAAAGGCTGCGAGGTCAGGGAACAGGTACGGCAGCATGAGGCGGCTAAGGGCAGCAGTGGCAGGGGAAGAGTAGCATGCAACTACAGCGTCGTACAAGGTCTTAGCACTCTTGTACTGACTAAAGTGCGCACGCTCAGTGGTCGGTAAGTGGGGACGCACAGCAAGACGGGCAGCAGCATCGCGGGTGGCCCAATGTGAGCGAAGAGTGCTGTCAACATCAGTAGGCAAGGCAGGAGAGGCACCATAGGTGAGATCGAACACAGAGAGTCCGTCTGCCCTATCACACTGTAGGAAGAGCTGTAGGTCATCTACCCAGACCTCGAAGTCAACAGCACGACCCTCAGCATCAAAGGTAAGGACACTGGGGGTAGCCATGATAGTAGTGGTCTAGCAGGGAGTGCTCTCACCAGTCCGGGTGGGTAGGGCCGGGGCGCGCCGGAAGGAACAGGGCGGCAACCGCGGTAGCAGCGGCTCGGCAGTGGCTCGGTAGTGGCGGCTCGACGGCGGCCTCGTCGGCTCGGCTGCTGGGCGGCTCGGCGGCTCGGCTGCTCGGCGGCTCGGGGGCTCGGCCGCTGGGCGGCTCGGCGGCTCGGCTGCTGGGCGGTTCGGCGGCTCGGCGGGTGGGCGGCTTGGCTGCTCGGCTCTTCGGTTGCTTGGCGGCTCGGCGGTGAAGGGGCCGGGGAGGGGTCGAAAGGGGCGGCGACGGGGCCGTAAGGGGCGGCGATGGGGCCGCTAAGGGCGGCGACGGGGCCGCGAGGGGCGGCGACGGGGCCGCGAGGGGCGGCGACGGGGCCGCTAGGGGCGGCGACGGGGCTGTGTAGGGGCGGCGACGGGGCCGGTAGGGGCGGCGAAGGGGCCGCGAGGGGCGGCGACGGGGCCGGTAGGGGCGGCGAAGGGGCCGCGAGGGGCGGCGACGGGGCCGGTAAGGCGATCGATGACGATGGAGTCTTCGTTCTGCAATTCTCGGCTCAAGGCACCACCGGCGATTCCCACCGTACACTGCTGTTGAAAACAACTCCCACAGAGCCGCCAACATGGTCACATCCTGACGAAATGGATCTCGAGCGACCTGCCTCCGACGGCCTCCTTCGCCTGCGCACCGTTCCGACTGCCTCGACCACCAACCCTGCAGAAACCGGACCTGCCACAATGGAAGAAGACAGCGGCACGTCAGGACCTGCAACACAACCAACCGAGGAAAACAAGCTGGCGGAAACACGCTGGCCGGGCTGGAACACTTCCGAGCCCGCGCTCGGATCCTGGGGAGAAGTTTTAACTCCAGAAGAAGCAGCCGCAAGCGGATGGGGCGCCGTTTCAACAGGAGACCTTCGAATTTATGGGAGAACCAACGGAGTTGCCCGAACCTACCGAGGAGCCGGAGCCGCCAGTCCAAGGACCACAAGAAATTGAGGTCATCGGCGCTGAATACAACTACTTCAGAATCCCATGACGGGACTCCCAGTTTGGGAGTGGCCCAACCAGAGCCTGCTCGTTACCGGAGACCAAGTCGAAGCCGGCGACACCGACGACATCATCGGGATTCCCCGCGCACTTCTGGAGCGAAAAGCAATTCGTGCGCTCGCCGCCGATACCGACAACGCCGCCGACGCAGGACATGGAGGGGAGGCAAACGACGAAGCAGCGCGACAAAAATATTATCAGAAGATGGTCGGTTACCGTGCGGACCCAGGAACATGGCACCAACGGCTCGGACATCCCTCCCACGCCACGCTCAAGAACTCGCTCAAGGCTGGAGTCTTCGACAACGAAGCGCTGTTCCCTCACCGCAGACTCACCTAACCTGCCATGCATCGTCTGCCCAACCGCGTCGCTCAATCACCAGCCGTTCCCCAATTTGCCCCCAGGGTATGAACGCTACAAGCCGCTGGACAAGGTTTAGAGCGATTTTATGGTGCTCAGCCAGGAGGGGCTCGACGGGGAGCAGTACACACTTACCTTCATCAACACATCTATTCGCTACGTCTGGGCCGTCAACATCGACAGCACGTCTCTGGCCTTCGAGTGCTTCATTGCATGGATGAAGCGGGCTGAGCGACAGTCCGGTCTCAAACTCAAGACCTGGCAGACGGACGGAGCCCTGGAGTTCTTCTCAGACGAGTTCAAGGAGCTCCTCAAGCAGAAGGGGATTGAGCACCTGGTGTCCCTGCCCTACGCTCACCAACAGCAAGGAGTAACAGAACGGACAAACAGAAGCCTCGCCACGCGGATGAGGGCTCTGATGAAGCAGTCGGCCATCCCAACAAAATATTGGCCGTTTGCGATGAATCACGCTGTTCGGCTGCACAACTTGCTGTCCTCGCGAAGCCTCGAGAACACCAACTCTCCCTACCGGGCATGGACGGGCAAAAAAGCAGATACACGCCTGCTTCGGGTGTTTGGCTGCATGGTACAGTACAGACCCCACACTGCGAGAACCGGAAAATTTGCTGACCGGGCACGATGGGGCATCCACCTCGGGATCGAGAAGGAATTCAAGGCATGGATCGTGCTGGACTACGCGACACACGAGGTGACGAAATCACGTGACTGCATCTTCTACGAGAAGCTGACTCTACCCCTTTTTAAGGAGCACCAGGAAGCCAACAAACTTCCTGAGAGGCTCTTTGAGGGCCACCGCAGCTTCGCCATGTCACACGACGAAGCTGACCTGGCCGAGGATGTAGACGCACCTGATGTCACCCCAATGGACTCCGCTCCAAGCATCCCCCTCACAAGCCAATTCGGGACTCCGATATTTGTACCTCTACACCAACCCAATCCTAACGACATAACACGCAAGGCTCATGACTACTACAGTGAGGCGCGCCGATCGCTTGATGCCGAGTTACCACAACCCAACACGTCGCAAGATACCCTCCGCCTTGGCAACGACAGCGATGATGACGTGGTGGAAGTTACCAGCTTCCATGACTACGACCGACTTCACTACGAAAAGACTGACGAAACCAGTCTCCGCGTCCTCGGCTTCACCGTCGCTGTTCGCCACACCTCGCCCAAGGAATCAACCACAGTCCGCCAAGCCCTGTCTAGCCCCGACAGTGAAAAATGGAGAGCAGCCATGGCCGCCGAAATTGCGTCGCTGAAGAAACGTGGCACCTGGAAACTAGTCCCTCGGTCATTGGCAAAGGGGAGAAAAATTCTCAGCGGAAAATGGGTTTTCCGCATCAAAACTCTCGCCGATGGCTCAGTCGACAAGTACAAGGCACGTTGGGTGGTACAAGGATTTGAACAAACGCACCTGGTAGATTTCACTCTCACCTACGCTCCAGTTGGCCGCCACACCTCTGTGCGGATTCTTCTCTGCATCGCCGCCATCAAATAGCGACCGCTCCAGCAAATCAACGTCGGCAGTGCCTTCCTATACGCCCCCGTCAATGCCATAAATTTCGTCGAGCAGCCGCACGCATTCGAAGAAAACGATGGCGCTGTGTGCCTCCTCCAAAAATCCCTCTACGGAATCAAGCAGGCACCTCGTCTGTGGCAGCAGTACCTCCATTCCGTCCTCCTTGAGCTCGGCTTCACTCAGCTGCCGCACGACCTCGGAATGTACAGGCGAAAATCGCGCGGGAAATTTATCCTCCTCGTCGCCTACGTCAACGACCTCCTCTAGAACGGCGACGACACGGAGCTGCTGGACCAGTTTGAGGCTGATGTCAAGGAGAAGCTGGAGGTGACAGTAAACCACAACGTCACCCAGTTTCTCGGCCTCAATGTGACCCAGTCCGCATCCTCTATTCACCTCTCCGCCGCCAAGTACGCCGAAACACTCGCAAAGCGATTTGCCATCGCACCGATCAACCTCACCACCCCTTATCGCACTCCTCCTCATACCCACGAGCCCGACACCACACCTCTCTCTCCCGACAACCATCGTCTTTATCAGCAGCAGCTGGGATGTCTCCTGTTCGCCGCCGTCACGTGCCGGCCCGATCTCTCCTACGTCGCAAGCCAGCTCGTACAGTACCTGAAGCGACCTGAAGGGGAGAATCTACTAGATCTACGCCGAGCACTGTAGTACTTCATCTCCTTTCCCGACGTAGGTCTCACCTACGAAGCTAATCTCACCGCTACTCTACAACTCCATGGCTACATAGATGCCGACCACGCTGGAGATGTCGACAACCGACGCTCCCGCACAGGATTCATTTTCCAACTCCAACCAGCGGGACTCATCTCCTGGAACTCCCAGAAATAGGAACTCATCGCTCTTTTGTCACCAGAAGCAGAATTCATCGCAGCCAGCGCAGCTGTTTGCGAAGGACTGTACCTGATGGAGCTCCTGCAGGAGGCAAAAGTGACAATGAACGGGCACTTCACGTTACTCTGCGACAATCAGAGCGTGATAAAGATCGCGAACAAACCCGGCTTTGTCAACCGCACCAAGCACATCGCCCTTCGCTACTTCTTCATGAAGGATGAAATGGACAAGGGGAAAGTCAAGCTGACGTACTGCACGACCGGTGACATGGCAGCTGATTTCCTGACAAAGAAACTGCCACGTCAACAGTACCAACGATGCACCGACCTCTGCGGGATCGCCAAGAAATCCCACGTGGCCCACCTTCAGGAATGAAGGGGAGTGTTGAAACAACCATAAGGTTATATAAAGCATTCCCGAAGCTGCTCCACTGTACTAGTACCGCAATAGCTCATATAGAGCATGAGGAAGTCAACGGTCGTGACCTTTGACGATCCAGCAACCGCGCGACAGTTAACTCACTCCAACATGGTAACTGTTGAGGATAGCAATAGTCGCGCGTACTGTAGCTATGCAATACATTTAATAAGGGAATGTACCCCTCAGAGTATATGGCTAGCTAGATTTCTATTTAATCCCTTGTACTCCTATCTTTCAATCATCTTGTTATCTTTCAATTATTATTCAACAAGGTCACTACAGAGAGTTCATTGTCTCCTCCCAGACTTCTAAGATCCTATCTTGTCTACTGGATCCTCTGGTTATATCTACAAATATGAAGGGGTACAGTTATAACTGTTGCTGTTGCGGTTCGATACAGTGACGACTCGGGCAACTGCTCTGTAGCGAGTCAGTTGTGTGTCGTTGCTGTCGCGCTATACTTTGTCAGGTCAAAAGTCGCAGACCTTTGACTTTCGCGTAACCTCCAACAGTTACTTTCAACCTCCGAGGGTTGACTCGCCGGTGCTTCGATATGCTTCGCTTTGTTTGTGCCTTCGTGTTCTGACACGACAGAGGCGTTTAAGATCGATTGTTTCCAACACTCCCCTTCGCTTCTGGAGTGTCGCTGCTGGTGACGTGGCTCTGTCCAGTCAGCAGCATGCAGTACTCGAACTTCTGCTTTCCGAGCTTCTTGGTCAGGTAGTCAGCTGCCATC